TGCCCTCTAGTTACGTCCTGAAATCAAGTGTTTGGAATTATCAGGTATTTCAAAAAGTTCCAGGGCAAATGGAATTAAAAAATGAACTAAAAAGTTGCTACACAACAAAAGAAACAGTCAGCAGAGCTGAGAGACAACCTACAGAAAGGGAGAGAAGATGTGCAAGCTATATATCTGACAAGGAGTTAATATTCAGAATATATAAAGAACTCAAGCAACTCAGTAGCAAAAACAAACAAGCAACTCACTTAAAAATTGTCAACAGATATAAACAAGCATTTCACAAAGGAAGGCATACAAATGATTAACAGGTACATGAAAAAATGCTCAATATCACTTATCACCAAGGAAATGTAAATCAGAATCATATATTATCTCCCAGTTAGAATGGCTACTATCAAAAAGACACAAGGTGACAAGGTTTTTTTCTTTTTCACTTTTAAATTAATGCATTTTATTCTTTTTTTCAAAATCAGTTCATTAAGGCCAACACTGTGCCACAGGTGGTTAAGCCATAGCCTGTGACACTGGCATACAATGAGTTCCGGTTCAATTCCTTGCTGTTCCTCTTCTGATCCAGCTCCCTATTAATGAGCCTGGGAAAGCAGTGGAAAATGGCCCAAGTTCTTGGGTCCCTTTTACCCACATGGGAAACCAGGATGGAGGTCTAGGCTCCTGGCTTCAGCCTGGCCCAACCTTAGCCTTTGTGACCATTTGAGGAGCAAACCAGTTTGTGGAAGATCTCTCTGTCTCTCTGTCTCCATCTTGGTAACTGCCTTTCAATTAGTAAATAAATCTTTTATGAAAATTACTTCAATGTTTTGATCAAACTAATATAACCCTCCTGAGAACTCAAATAAAACATTATAAGTTTTGGCAAGAAGAGAAAAGGAAACCCTTACAAGCTGTTGTTGGGAATGTAAATTAGCACAGCCATTGTGGGAAATAGTATGTAGCCCCACCCCACCCCCCCAAAAAAAACCCTAAAAAATAGAACTACCTTAGGATCCAACAGTCACACTCTTGGACATATAGCCAAGGGAAATGAAACCTATGTGTCAAAGAGACATTTGCAGTCCCATGTTTATTTCATCACTTTTCAGAATAACCAGAAATAGAAACAACCTAAATGTCTATTCAGTGATGAATGGGTGAAGAAAATGTGGTGTATATAGTCAATATTTTCCTCAGTCATAAAAAAGGATACAATTTTGTCATTTGCACACCACAGTTGGAACTGAAGGTCATTATGTAAAGAGAAGCAAGTCAAGCACGGAGAGGCAAGCATCACATCACCTCTCTCATATGTGCAGTATAAAGACAATAGGTGATCTCAAAGAATTTAAAAACATAATCATGGTAACCAGAGGGTGGAGGGAAAAGAGCAGAGGGATTTGGAAAACTCGATTCATGGGAACTAGGTTATAGCTAGACACGAGTAAGAAGTTCTGAGGTTCTATTGCACAGTAAGTTGAACATAGATAATGTAAATTTAGTGCATATTACTCTATTGAATTATTAGGAGATATGGTTTTTTGAATGTTTTCACTGTACAGAAATGTAAAATGCTTGAAAGGATGAACATATTTACCCTGATTGGACATTGTACATTATATACATACAACAAAATCACAGAATATCCTGTAAATGCATATGATTTTTTTTTATTTTTTAATGTTTTATATTAAGTTGTTTATAAAAAATACTTTAACAAACTTATTTCCTAATTGTTAGGGGAGAAGTCACCTGATAAATCAAACTGTGAGTGAAGTGGCAATGCCAGAAATCCACGTGCCCCCTTGAAGTCCTGTCCAGATTCTCTCGTCCAGAGTGGGAGCGAGGCTGAATGTGGAGGGGAGGAGACAGTTCCAATTTGGGTTTTTATTTGAATGTATTTTTTAAAGCCTTCAGAAACACTCCACCTAAGAAAGGGTTTCTGCTCTAAAAGACTCCAGCAACAACCATCAAGTGTGTTGTCCCCTGTCGCTCCCCCACTCGCGGAGGAACGACACCGGACCCTGCATTGTTCTCTTTCCCCGGCCCTTCCCGGGTTTGCTGCTGCTCCCCCCTGCCTCCGCGGAGGGGCGGCACCCCCGCTGCTTCCCCTGCTTCCGTGGAGGAGCGGCACACCGCCGGCCAGCTCTCTCAGGGGTTCCTCAGATGTTCCTCTTGCCTGTTGTCTCTCTCCTCCTTTATAGTCCTCTTCCACCAATCCCAACTCTGCTGGTGTTCTCTCCCCACGTGCTGAGCACGCTGCTTTCCTCCAATTAGGGGCAGGATCAGCTCCTGCAGCTTGTTAGTCGAATTGGTGAGGCAGCTGTGTGGAAGTTGTTCACTCCCTCTCGGCGCCATATGGTGGGAGAGCAGATGCATAGAGTTAGTCTTAGCAGTTCCAGTAGTTTAATCTAGTCTCAGTAATCTCAGTATTTGTCCTCAGTATTTATTTGTCCACAGTCTTAGTACTTATCTGTCTCCCGGGCGACAGGCCCTGCCATGTTATAGCAGATGGGCCCTGCTCCCCACAGTCCCCTGTGGCCATCTCCCATCCCTGATCTCCTCCTGTCGCCACTATAGGGCCGTCCTCTGACATTGCGATGGTACTGATAACCTTCATCCCGGCCTCTGCTTGGCTTCCCTTTTCAGGGCTCCTCAGCTCTCAGGTGCTGATAGCCACCCCTACCAGAATAGCCCCAATCACTTTTGTATTTCCTGCCTCCATAAGTTTGATTATAGAACTGCTTGGATCTACCACTTCTCAAAATATTAGATACTTCATTTTCATCTTCTGAACTCTCTTCTTTTGGTCTTTGTACTCTGCTATCCACAGAGTTGGTCCCAGGGCTAACCACATCAGCAGCAGTCTTAGGATCTTTTACTTTTCTTGGTTTTTCTTCCAGATTCTGAATGGTCCTTTTAGGCTCAGGTTCAACTGGCACAGTTTCCCTCTCTGTGTTTAGAATCTGAACGGGAAGATGAGCCGTTCCCTCTCCTCCGGGAGGGACAGAGGCCAGTGCCAGATCTGCTTTCCGTGTCTGGGATGACTGCTCTGCCCGGCCTTCATGCTTACTGCTCACACTTGCTTCAGGGAGAGAATGTGCACCTTCACCCCTGGCTTTGGGAAACTCCTCTACAGCTGAAACGGAAGCACATTCTTTAGACAGATCCAGATTTTCCAGCGGTAGATCCAATTCTCCTTTCTCATCAGAGGGCAGGACAATATTCTGCCTCATTACTGGGTTTTCTAAGAATCCCTGAAAAGGGTACCCATATCTGTCGCTCCCCCTCTTCGTGGAGGAACGACACAGGACCCTGCGCTGTTCTGTCGTCTGCTCGGCCCTCCCCGGGTTTGCTGCTGGTTCTTCCCGGGTTGGCTGCTGGTCCTTCCCGGGTTGGCTACCGACCCTTCCACCTCCGTGGAAGGGTGGTTCCCCCTGCCACATTCCCCACTTCCATGGGGGAGCGGCACACCACCGGCCAGCTCTCTCGGGGGCTGCACAGGTGTTCCCCTTAGATGTTCCTCTTAGATGTTCCTGGTGCATGCCGTCTCTCTCCTCCTTTATAGTCCTCCTCCGCCAATCCCAACTCGGCTGCCCACACGCCGAGTACGCTGCTCTCCAATCAGGAGCAAGTCCTACAGTTAATTGGTTGAACTGGAGGCAGCTGTGCGGAAGCTGTTTTCTCTTCTCCCAGCGCCATATTGTAGGAGAGCAGATGCATAGAATAAGTCTTAATTCCAGTAACAGTCTAGTCCGAGCTGCTCCCCACAGAGGAGAGCAGATGCATAGAATAAGTCTTAATTCAAGCAACTCAGTCTAGTCCGGATTGCTCCCCACAATATCAAACATGAGGGAAGAAATGAGGTGCAATGGGAACTGGGCCCAAGAATGGATTAGGTCCAAAGGACGGTTGTGGGAACATATGCTTGCCACTTAGTGATTCGTCATATTCAGCATGAAGAAGCTGCCCAGGGTTCTCAGATTCAAGATCAGCGTGGTAAGACAACTGTCCGTGACTTTCAGACACCTGAGATGGAGCGATAACCAGAGGTGAAGAAAACGTTGGCGGTCTAATCTCTGCCTTTGGTATTTGGCCATTAACACTGGCCTCAGTCTGCATAGGAAAGTGTGTGTCGGTGCAGGTACAATCACTTTCATTCTGAGCAGAAGGGGCTTCTTGGAACCAAGGATTATGAGGATAGACAAGGACAGGGACCTTTGGGTACATCCTGCAGGCTGCCAGGTAGGCCTGGTGCAGAGGGTACAGGTAAGAATGTGGGGCCCACATCGGACAACTATATGCCTTCACTCCAAGATTGAAGAAGAAACGAAGAATATTCTTATCTTTAGTCAAGTCCTCTCCAGTGTGACACAGTGAATAAGGTGGTGCAGTGGCTCCATCTCCCTTTTCATTGTAAGGAAACCCAGGATACAGTGGGTCCTGGTAAAGGCTCAATGTCTGAGGCAAAGGCATCAAGGGCTGGTTAACTGCCTGTATTGACACAGGAACTGTTGGTCCAAAAGTTGTAGGTTGGGATACAGCAGAATCAGGTCCAGTGGTCAGAGTCTGTGTCACCGATAAAAGAGGAATTGAAGCAGGGACACCTGTTGGTCGATTTGACAGAGACCCATGTTCTGCTGGCTTTTGTTCTGCAGGAGATGGGCACTCTAATTTCTTTGACTTCAATGGTGATGAAACTCTTGCACATCTATCATCACTAATATTCTCTAATGTACTTGGTTCAGGTTTTTTATCCAAGTGAGTAGATCCATGGACAGAGTCTTTGTCCTTCCGTTCTTCTGTGTCCATTCTCCGCCTGTTTCCTTTTCTATCACTTCCGTGGGATGATTTTCTCTGGACACATGGTTGCTACTTTGAGAAGCTGATGTACTGACTGATGACATGGAAAGGGTTGGGAAAGCCTGTTCATCTCTGTTCTGAATCTCTTAAAGTATAAGAGATTCTTCTATGGCTTGCTTCTCTCTGCGTTCTTCAGGGGAGAGGCCAAAATAGTGAGATTCTCTATTCGTGTGATCAAAATCCTCAGCTCTCTCACGATCAGGTTTTCTCATGATCTGTGAAGGTGTCCTGGCAAGATTTTTGTGTTCACTGGAGGATTTCTGAGACTGTGCCCCTGAAGAGTGACTAGAGAATGCATGTTGTCTTATTCCCAAAGGATGCTGGAGCCGAGGAGGTAGTACTGATGGGGCTTTTATTGGCTTGCTTGGATTCTTTGGCCCTCTGTAATCCATTTCAGAATGAAAATTTTGTCCCGAAGTAGAAGGTTTTTTCATCTTCTTTCCTGACACTGTGCTCCAGCTTTCTGGGGGAGGTGGTTTGAGGGTCTTCACAGCATGTTTTTTTTTCCCAATTCTTCAACCAAAACTGGTCCATTCTTAGAGTGAACTCCTTGAATATCTGCATTAGGAAATTTTCCATTGTGATCCAACCTAACTTGGCATTTCTCTCCAACTTCATATTGTAAACCAGCAGCAATGGAATAATCACGCTTTTGTTGAGTTTGTTTAGACTTCAGCCAAATTTCATATTCCACAGTTCTGTAGACTGCTGGATTGAGTGACTTAAGAACCTTTCTAGACAAGGGAAGGCTAGTAGAATTCCCATTGTTCTTCAAGTGCTCATCGCCTGACAAAGGTTTAAATCCATTCACATCATTAGCAGTTTTCCTCTTGCAACTATCATCCTCTGAATCTGATATTTCACTGTTGTTTCCATCAGCTACTTCAGAAGTGTCTAGTCCCATCACGATTTTACTGACATCAGCTTTCAACACCTTCTCATAGAGCAATTCATAAAGAAGAGACTGACACATAGCAGAACTATCTTTATACTTTATGGGGTAAACAATATCATGGTGATTTCCATTTGAAAAACACAGTAATACCTTTTCAGGAAAATTATTTTCAGTTACTTGTGCTGGAGAAACATGTGGTTCCCGGTAAATTATAAAATCTTTCATGTTCATTGAGATTTAATGCTATAACTAGTACT